GATACATTTACACTTTAGTATAATTAATCTGTCGCTGTGATAATGCTCAGAACTAATACCATGAAAACGTTATTGCAAAAGGACCTCTCAGATTCTCTTATCTTAACTATATAAAATTACCTTCTACTCCACATTGTTTACCCTTGGTCTTGGCGAACAACTGCTGATCTCTATTTCGGTGAAGCATTTTCTACTCATGGTTTAGTGGTTCATTGGCATGAGCAGTCTTATTCATTTTTGTTAAAACATGACACTATATATGGTAGTTACATATATCAGCTTGTCTTAGGGGTCAAGACACACAATTTCGGGATAAGGAGTTAAATCTTCCCGCAAGGTTCTTATATTATGGTGTAGAAATTGTACTATTTAAAGAGCATCTATAGAATATAAATTATATAGAATCAGCCAGGGTATTATAAATTATTGCTCAATAGTTCGATTTTTGCCTTTCACCTGAACAAGCTGTAGCCAACCCCATCTTTGGGAGGCTTCAATTGCTGTTGTTTTACCTTACCAATATGAGCATGCCACCAAAACTTGTACTGGTTATATGCTGATTTGATTTTTTTCTCAGATTCCAGTGACCTATGCTGGCGGTGTGACAGTTATGGAGGATCTAGAAAAGATTAAGGTAGCTGGCAATGAGCGAGTTGATGTAACTGTTGGTAGTGCTTTGGATATATTTAGGGGTAGTTTACCCTACAAAGATGTCATTGCATGGAACCTTAAGCAGGAGTCCGGCAGCTAGCTCTTCTCTATTTTTTGTCATCTTTGAACCGGTTCTCTTCTAACACCATTATTAAAGACACAGATCCGCTTCACTAATCAAATACACCTTGCTGCAAATACCATAATTTGCTTAACAAGGTGTTATTAATGACTCAATGTTATTGTTGTATTGTCCCTTTCGTTTTGTTTCGAATTGGCCTTGCCATTCTAAGTTCTCAATTTTGATGTTATGCTTCTTAGCTATTTGATTATTATTTTTTTGGCAATGGTTGAATAAAAAAGAATTTATTTTGACTTTTTATTGGAAGCTATTGAGAAAATATTGGACTGGGATTCTTAAATCGGATTGGACCGGACTAGACTCGGAATATTATTTACAAATTCAATGTGAGATTATATTATAAAGATTAAGGAGTATAAAATATAGCTAAATATAATACTGCCTCCATTTTTAAATACTTGCTCCATTTTTCCATGCGCGGAGGAGAAAATAATAAAATATAGAGGTGGTAGAATTGGTGGAAGAACAAAAAATTGTAAGAATAGGAGGAGACAGAATATGAAATCAATAAAATATGATTTATGTTGGGTTCACTAGTTCAGAGAAATAAATTAAATATTGTAAAAGCTTGTCAAATAAAGAAATGGGGCAAGTATTTAAAAACGGCCGAAAATGGAAAGTGGGGGAAGTATTTAAAAATGGAGGGAGTACTTGAAATCATCAATTGTAACACCCTAGACATTCCTAACGGAGGGAGTACTTGAAATCATCAATTGTAACACCTAAAAAACTTCTTTCCTATAAAATACCTGTTTTACTCTTTTTTAAATACGATATAGGAAATTTTAAGACATTACCGCCATTGTGAAAACGGCTAAGACAATTATCAAAGACACACAGCGGAAGACTTTCTTTAAAAACCAATTAAAACAAGTCAACTTAAAAATTCAAACCAACGAAAGTAAAGTCAAACCAAAGTGAAATGCAGTCAACCTACAACTTGGAACCATTGTAGCCTCTTATTAAAACCGAAATAAAACTTAAAACCTTTGTGTTATCTCACAAGCAAAATATATAATATTCAAAGCAATAAATCACATCACATTCTTATGGAAACTGAGCATGATTCGATCTTTACTCATGCCCATCATGAATATGGTTCATCACCTGAATAACTTCTCTTTACTTTGTCTCCACTACTCGCCATTAGAAATGAGTCGTCGTAGGGCCAAGATAAAAACAAGGCCAAACAAAATACAAACACACAATCAGCAATGCTGAGTACATAAGCGTAAACAGAACACACTATCATGCTTTCATTCAATCATCACAAAACTTAACTTGTTGCACCTGTTTAATTACAAGCATACAACATACAATATAACCAACTAACAAATTACTAAATTATTTATTTAGCATGATTACGCATTGAACGGGTTTCCCCCTAACCTGCCCCAATAAAGGGGTACTAACACGGGAGCTAACCGTGTCAGTATAAAAGAACCACTCGTAAGTGGCGGAATTTCTGCGCATAATAAAATACAGCGTCCTGTACTCCCAGTAAAAGTTATGGTCAAATATAAAGTCGCATAAATACCCATATATTCATACTCAAGGTATATATGTTCTAAGAGTTTTTGTGCGTAATCTCTTTCCCTTTACGTTGTTTACATATTTTTAGACTTGGTGATGACTCTCAAACCATAACACAATCAATCACTACAAATCATTCAAGCAATCAAACATACCAATTAAATTCTTGAATAATTAGTGGCCACATAATTTTTAATTTTGAACCCTTTTTAATCTATCTCGGTGTCGGTGTCAAAGACACCTTAAGTGCATAAAGCACCACAAATCCTATCCCTTGGTGTTTAGAACACCTTAAGTGCACTTAGGCACCAAAATATAATTTAATCCTCGCGTACATAGACACTTAATAGCTCCTTTCCCATGCTTATAGCACCAATAAAAATTATATGAATTATAATAAAATTTTCTTTAAAAATTCCAAACTTAATTAAACATGCTCTCAATCTTGCCAATAATAAAAGTGTGGTTCATATTCAACATGCCAACATAATTAATTACAATCATCAATTCACCACAAATAATCCATACTTCACAAATCATTCACCAACATCAATCCAAACAATAATTCCAATCAATGTCTATCTTGATACTACCTTGGAATTAATTGAGCAAAGCCTAACATGCTTCTATACACCTAAATAATTACCAAGTACCCGAACGTACCTTGAATATGATCTCAAAATCGCCACGACTACACAAAATCGATCACTTACTTGGAAATCTCCTACAACCCAAAATTACAAAGAGACATTAATACCTAATCAATATAAATTTTCAGCAATATATACTCTTTAAATCACTTATAAACCCTCTAAAACAAGCTGAAAATTAATTTAAAACCCCTACTTTTATACCCAATTAATGGGTAATTAAAAATCCTTTCAAGAAACATAATTCTAACCTTTATATAAAAATTCATGCTTTATGAAAACATGTAAAATTGTTGTAATTATGTTTAAAAATACCTATTTCAATAATATTAATCATCTACAATCAAATTCCATCAATATACATTAATTTAGAAACCTAGGGTTTTCAATTTGGGGCTTTTTAGCTTAAAAACAAAATCTAAAAATTATATACATAACAACTAAAATCAAACATCATAAAAATTATCACACAACCCAAAAACAATAATTAAATCAAGGCTAGATTAGAACTAAAAACAAAAGAGAGTTTTTATTTTTTATTTTTATTTTTTTTGGGTTGTGCACCTCACCACGGCAGGGCTGCTGCCGCGCGCACGCTCGCCGGTGCTGCTGCTGTCGGAGTTCGCAGGTAGCGGTGGCCGGCCGGTGGGTGGTTGTGGTGGTGGCCGGCCACGCGTGGTGGCGTGTGGCGTGAGATTGAGAAAAATAAAGGGGAGGGGGAAAATTAAGGGGAAAGAAAATAAGAGGAGAAAGAGAGAGGCCCTAAGATCATTTTTTCACTTATGTCATTCCGACATACAGGGCTGCGACACTTCGTTCCATATAATGCCTCAAATGGGGTCATGCCAATGCTTGCATGGTAACTATTGTTATAAGAAAATTCAATTAAGTCCAAGCTATCTTTACATCCCCCTTGGAAGTCTACGACAGAAGCTCTTAACATGTCTTCCAAGGTTTGAATAGTTCTCTCAGTTTGTCCGTCTGTGGCAGGGTGAAATGTTGTACTCATCTTTAGTGTTATTCCAAAGCTTTCTTGAACACTCTTCCAGAACTTTGAAAGAAACCTAGAATATCTATCAGACACAATATCCTTTGAAACTCCATGTAATCTCACAACATTCTTGATGTAAGCTTTTGCAAGTTGCTCCATCTTTTAGGTCTCATTCATTGGTATGAACACCGCAGATTTAGTAAGTCTATCCACCACGACCCAAATGGTATCATTTCCACTCTTTGACTTTGGGAGGCAAGTTACAAAGTCCATTGAAATACAATTCGACTTCCATCCAGGAATTTCCAATGATTGCACAGTTCCTTGCGGTCTCTTGTGCTCTATTTTCACTATTTAACAAGTTAGACACTTTGTTACAAATTCCGCAACTTCATTCTTCATTCTAGGCCACCAATACATATTTTTCAAGTCTTTGTATAGCTTGTCCCCTCCTGGGTGTACTGAGTATGGTGTATTGTGACCTTCTTCCATCAGATTTCTCTTTACCTCCTCGCATTTTTGTGGTACACACCATCGACCCTTGTACCTAGGCTTCCATCTTCATGAATTTTGAAATTTGTAGCCTTTCCTTGCTTTATATTCTCACGAATCCTATCCAACTTAACATCTCCTACCTGATTTTCCCTTATTTCATCAAATATTGTTGGTTGAATACTCAGGTTCGCAAGTATGCCTGCTGGTACTCCCCATTCTACCACATCCAGGTTCATTTTTTTCATTTCCCTACATAACTCATCAGCCACTATCAAAGTGTTCAGCCCATGGCTTAACTTACAACTTAGAGCATTTGCAACTACATTTGCTTTCCTTTCATGGTATTGTATGTCTAAGTCGTAGGCCGTTGTAAATTCTAACCATCTCCTTTGGTGTGAGTTTAGATCTCTTTGGGTGAAAATGTATTTCAAACTTTTATGGTCTGTGTAAATTCTACATTTCACTCCATACAAGTAATGCCTCCAAATATTTAGCGCAAAAATGATTGCAGCTAATTCTAAGTCATGAGTAGGGTAGTTTAATTATGAGGTTTCAATTGTCTTGATGCATATGCAATCACCTTCCCATTTTGCATAAGTACACATCCCAGACCATTCTTGGATGCATCCCTATATTCATCATAGATTCCACTTTCATCTGATAGTGTAAGCACCGCTGCTGTAATCAACTTTTGTTTTAAGAGTTGGAAAGCTTCCTCACACTTGTCATCCCATTCAAACTTCTTGTCCTTCTTCATTAGAGAGGTCATAGGCTTAGCAATCTTAGAAAAATCCTTCACAAAACACCTATAATACCCTGCTAAACCTAAGAAACTTCTAATGTCGACATCGTCCTTAGCGTAGGCCATCCTTTTACAGCCTCAATTTTGGCTGGATCTACTTCTATCCCATCCTTGGACACAAAGTGACTCAAAAATGCTACTTTCTTCAACCAAAACTCACACTTGGAAAACTTCGCATACAACTTGTTCTCCCTTAAGGTTTGTAGAATTGCCCTCAAATGTTTTACATGTTCCTCTTTATTCTTTGAATACACTAGTATATCATCTATGAACACCACGATACACTTGTCCATAAATGAATGGAACACTCTATTCATCAAGTCCACAAAGATTGCTGGAGCATTCGTAATCCAAATGGCATTACTGTGAACTCATAATGTCCATACCTTGTCCTAAATGCAATTTTGGGAATATCTTCATCTGCGATCCTCAATTGATGGTATCCAGACCTTAAATCAATATTAGAAAACACCGATGCGCCCCTCAATCGGTCACATAGGTCATCAATCCCTGGCAATGAGTACTTGTTCTTTATGGTGACCTTATTCAACTCCCTATAGTCAATACATAACCTCATACAGCCTTGGAAATGGTGCTGTTCCTAGGACCAGCTCTATTGTGAAATCATTTGCCCTTTTTGGTGGCATTGACAGGATAAAGTCGTATCACCTAATCAAAAGTAATTCCTAAAACCACTAACTAAAATAGATAGGAAAGTAGGGTCGAATCCACAGAGAAACAATGTTCTTTTATTTCTAATAAATTATTATAATTTAAATTATCAAGAAACGAGTATTTTTGTGAGAATTATACTACGACAATAATTAACTAAGGGAATAATCAATAATAAAAGACCTAGGGTCACTAGTTTACCAATAATTAATATTTCGGGATAAAACATAACAATCAATCATCAATGGATAAATTAACCAGATTATAAATTGCTTTCGCTACGTATTACAATCACAGAATTAACTTAGCTGTATTAAATCGCATATATCGAATCTTAATTTAACCATTTATAAATTAATTCTACCTATTGAAACTAGGCGTTAATATTAATTCTCATCTTTCGAATCTCGAATCAATATTGCGTTACTCATACAATTAAACATGCGCAAATCTAATTGCATAGCATTATAACAATCAATAGGAAATTAATCCAAAACATTAATAATGAACAATAGTAATTCATCCCTTCATATTAATCATGGATCCTCAAAAACCCTAGAATTAAACTACTCGTGCATAATTAAATCAAAACTAAACAAAGCAATTAAATTAAACATAATTAAAATCAATAAGCAATTAAATAAAATAATTAAAGTAAGCATATAAGAAACAATAATATCAAAACTCATACTAAGACAACAGTATATAAACTTAAACAAAACCACAAAGTTCCGTAAAAAACTAAAACTAATTACTAAAAACTATATTAAAGCAAAACTAAGAAAGGAAAATAAAGAAAAGTCAACTCAAACCAATAAATCAAGAAATCCAACTACTAAAACTAAGTCTACTGCAAATAATGAAAAGCTGCTGCTAATAACAATTCTCAAACAAAAGTAATAATGAAAAGTTGCCCCTAGTTCCCCAATTTACGGGTTTGTATAACTCACCGAATATGAAGACTGACTTAGTGAACTGTTATTCGAGGCTCCCAATTTACATGGTGACGCTTCCATTTAAATGTGAAATTACCGTTTTGTCCTTGTGTTAATTTGACCTATATAAGGCTCCACTATTTTGTCACATAGTATACCGAGCAGTTTAATATTATTCCCGAGCACTTTGACCCACCACTTGCATTTAATCAATTATTTAAAAAAATATTAATCACAACAAAAAAAACCAAAATTACATAACATTAATTATGAGTACAAAAAATTTAAGCACGAAAAAAAAACCAAAAAAAAAAAAAAAAAAACACGAATTTTAGGGACATCCGCCTGAAATTTCCGGATGTTCCCTTAGATCCGCCTGAAATTTCTGGATGTTCCTTGGGACATCCGGAAATTTTAAGAGGATGTCCTTTGGGACATTCAGAAATTTTAGGCGGATGTCCCTTAAGACATCCAAAAATTTCAGGCGGATGTCCCAAATTTTCAGGTTTTTTTTTTTTTTTTTTTTTTTTTTTTTTTTTTTTTTTTTTTGAATTTTCAGATTTAAAAAAAATTCTGTTTTTTTTAATTTTTGAAGAGAATTAGTTTTTAGAGGGAAAGTACGAGCGTAAAATGTGTTGTAACTGTCGTGAGTGAGTGTCGTGAGTTATTTATAAACGGGGCAAAAACGGAATTTCATGAAAAAAATGCGAGCGACGAGTTGTAATTTGGGAACGACGTTTAACAACACCCCTGACTTAACAAACTCGGTGGATGAAACAAGCTCGCCCGATCGATTATTGCGACGCCCGATCGGGCCCGCCTATTCTCACGCCAAATCAGCTGATCACCTTGGGGTTGGGCTTCCGTTTGCTTTAGGCCCAAACATCTTTCTAATCACTACTTGGCTCATCTAGTAAAATATCGTGATACTTATTTTGTCCATACTAGTAACATGAACTTTGTAGCTTGCTTATTTAATCGAGCCCTTAATCATCGGACTAAATTTATCTAGCTCGACCTTGGGCTTTTAACATACGGTCATAAAATACGATCTGACTCCAATGTCTTCGTAGTTGCTCAATAAGCTCAGGAATTGTCATAAATCTGCAAATTCCTACAAAATAATACCAACTCTACAAAACACTAGGAAACGTATATTAATAGTAAAAATAGCCCTGCAGAGCTCAAATAAGCACAAATATGACCGTGGGACGGGGAATATAAATACATATAAAATAGGCTCATTAGGCGTTCCTGAAATCTCTTCTGGAAACACATCCAGAAACTTGTTCACCACTTCTTGTCCTCAGGCTTAGCTGCCTCTTCATGTTCCAAATACCTCACACTACAAAAGTATATTGGATTCCCCTTCTTAAGATACTTAGCCAACTTTAACATAGATATGACCCTTGGGCACTTTGTTTCACCGTGCTTCCAATATGTCACCAACTCACCCTCAACTGTACTCATTTGTACTTTCTGTGATCGACAACTAATCTCTGCACTATACTTGCTCAACCAATCCATTCCCAAAATGATGTCGAAGTCACTTAACCCAAATTCAATGAGGTCAGACAGAAACACCTTTCCCTTGATCTCTAATGGCACATCCTTAAAAGTTTTGGTACATTGTACTACCCTTCCCGTAGGAATAACTATAGGTAAATCTATAACATCTATGGTTTTCAAACAGTGCGATAATTTTGAAACAATGGCTTTTGAAATGAAAAAAAAAGTTGCACTAAAATTAAATAAAACTTTAACAGAAATAGAGTTAATAGAAAAGGTACCAGTAATAATATCCTTTGTAGAATCAGCCTCATGCCTACACATCATATTCAGTATTCTTGGAGCTCCACTCTTCACCTGATTATTCCCATTATTATTGCCTTTCGCTCCATTCTGCTGTGCCCCCTTATTCCCTGAATAGTTGTTGTTTCCCTGAAAGTTCCTTTAAGCCCCTCCTTGGTTATTTCCATGCTTGTTTCGATTAGAATCTTTGGAGAAGCACTCGTTATCCCTATGTCCCAACTTGTTGCAAGCACGACAAGTAACTAGGTTGCCGTCACAGTCTCTTCCAGGTTGATTATTCTTGCACCTCTTATAGAAATACCATCTTCCTTATTATTTCCCTGGTTAGAGTTCTTAGCCCCTCCATTGAAGTTTCATCCACCTTGACGATTGTTACCTTGAAAATTATTGTTGTTGTTGTTGTGGTGGTATTTCTGCTTCTTGAAGTTGTTCTGGTTACCTTGCAGGTTTCCAGAGTTTTGCCCCATCTCTTTTCTCTTTTCCTTCCCTTCCACCTCAGCTAATTCTTTCTTTTTCTTCAACTCCAACGCATAAAGGTGTGCAGACCTCCCATACACATCATCCAAGGTTTTGCACACTTGTCTGCACAACTTTAGCTGCAAATCAGTGGTCAATCCACTCTCTAACTTCCTAGCCTTTGCCTTTTCTATAGCCACATACTCTTTGGCAAACCTTGACAGCTCAATAAACTTAGTATAATACTCAGTGACTGACATATCTCCCATTGTAAGGTTGGAAAATTCCTCAGCTTTCTGTTTCTGTGAGAAGCTAGGGTAAAACTTGTCCCTAACCTTCTCCTGAAACATAGTCCAGTTAAACCCAGGTAGTGCCTTAATGGTAGCCTCATTTTGTTGCCACTAAAGGTCAGCTTCACCCCTGAGGTAATAGGTAGCATAGCCTACTTTCGAATTTTCTAGGCACCCTACTGCCCCAAACAGTTTCTCAAACTCCCTTAACTAGCTTTCCAGCACTGTTGGATCAGGCTCACCTTGATAAGTTGGTGGCTTGCTTTGTGCCACCTTCTTAAACATCTCTCCCTAAGCATCTCCATTATTAGTTGAGTTTCTTGCTAACTGCAGGGCGACCGCTGCCAACTGCCTCACAACCTCACTCAGCTCATTTTCTTCGTTATTGTTCCCACTTCCTCCTTCCATCTTTCTTCGCCTGAATTAAAAGAAGGGGTCTTTATTAATTATGGTCGATCTTGGTTAGCTCTCAAGCTAGACACCCATCTAACTAACTTATACCCTCCCTACATACACATTTAACTTTAAGCTAACAAATTGAGATTGAAAAATTACAATTCCCAAAATGGCAGCTTGATCAACCAAATATTGATTGCTAACCAACCACACATTTAATAAAGCATCACAATAATAAATAAAAATAATTCCTAATGATTTCTCAGAGTTTAGAATTAATTTATTGGAATATTTGAGTAAGAAATGGCTTATTGGAGTAGTGATTTGAAATGAATGATTTGGGGAATGAATTATTTGGAAATAAAATGAATTATTTGATAAGAAAATAAATAGAATTTTATTGCTGAGTAAGAAAATGAATAGAAAATTGAAATGAAATGAGTTCAAAGAACCTACGCATCTCAATAGGTTTATTGACTCACTCTCACTGTGGACATGCCACTTA